AATTTTTTTTATGACTATAAGCTGGATGTTATTACATTTTATTCTATAACATTGAAATAAATTATTTTACTGTTTTTATTTAATTGTCAGTATTTATTTTAACCAGTTATAGTATTTTTAACAATAAACATCAATTAATTTATGTCATTAATTACTTTTTATTTATTTCGTCAATTTAAATGATTCCTCGTGTAGCAATTAGACAGAAAGTGAAAGTGAAATTTATTGGGTTGTAAAATAAGTTGGTAGCGTTTTTCTATAAATTTATTTTATCCCTCTTGTGTTTCGAAGCCAATTTTGTCATTTTCGTCGGTTTCGTACGAGATCTCGTATTTGTACAAGGTTTTTGGTAATTAAAGATGGACGAAAAATCGTACGTTTTTGTCATTTAGTGGTTTTAATGGTTAATTTGTGATGTGCACGGTGATGTCAATGCCATGCAATGGTACCGTCCATAAGATTATGAGCGTAAATTTTGATGTGGAACAAAACTTTTATGACAATAACCCACACTCAACGACACGAGATCAAGAGTGATACTGATCTTTTATAAGCATTTCAACGCACCTGATAGCAGCTGGACTGTTTTGTTGGAGTAATTTATGGGTTCGTCGCACATTGACTGAAAATAATTGTTTAAACTCCACGTCCACATGCCCCCTACTAAAACGCAATGTAAACGGTCCAATTTCACATATGTTGATAACCGCGGTTGAAAAATGGTCCTTTACTACCTCAGACAGGAAAATCCTGGGAAAAACGGATCGGCCCACTTGCACAACTCCAAACGCCAGATTACATCCCAAGAAGGTAATGTGCATTTTATGGAATTGGAAGGGGGTGTTTAATTATGGTCTTCTTCCACCCAACGAAACCGTTGATGCTAGTGTATACTGCGCACAATTGGATCGATTAAAGTCAGCAATTGACAAAAAACAATTGACCACATACCAGTTGTTCGGGCATTGCCTAATCGTCCACATCGTCTTTGCAGACGCACCTGAAATTTTTGGAACTTGACTGGGATATCCTACCTTGCACACCGTATTCGCATGACTCCTTCATGTAACAAAATCCATCATAAAATATTCTTCAATAATACCCCTGTGTGCTGTGTATAGCGAGGGAGTACCTTCTGGTCGTTGCCCCCTCACTGCAGCGTATACACGGCAGAGCTGTATGCGATTTGGCACGCTCTCGAGGCGGCGCGGACCGGGGAGGGCTCAGCCTTCCTCGTATGTACCACTCTCTGAGCGCTGTCTGGGCTATACGCGACAGGTTCTCTGTTGACCCTCTCGTCGTGCTCTTGTTAGAGAAATACGCGGAGCTGGAGCCTCTCGGAAAAACGGTGATTGTTGTCTGGATTCCCGGACACGTCGGCCTGGAGGGTACGAACGCGCGGACGAGGCGGCGAAAGCCGGTACGTCCCACCCTCCAGATCGGACCATCGCGATCAGGCCCCCTGACGCTAAACACGCATTTAAATATATGATAAAAGAAAGATGGCAGCGTCAGTGGGCGGGGTCGTCGGAGAGGCTCTTGCGAGTCAAGAGCACGACCGGTAGATGGCCCTCAGAGAATCTGAGCAGGAGACGTGGGATCGTCCTCACCCGACTGACGATTGGCCATACTCGGTTGACACATGGGCACCTGCTTTTGGGCCAAAGCCCGCGCAGGTGTCCCTTATGCAGAGAAAGGTTGCTCGATGTGTCCCACATAATAGAGGCGTGTCATGCCTTGTCTCCATACAGAGAGCGTGTAGGCATGCCGCCGGATTTAAGAAGTCCTCGAGCACGGTAGCGAGTTTCAGAGCCCCTTGTTCAGCTTTTTAGGGGAAATTGGTTTTTTTTTTATTGTATATAGTATGTCTTATGTGTTATGTGTCTTTATGTTTTGTCTGTGTGCATGTATTTATTAGCGTGAATGGCGAGGGGTGAGGGTGAATATAACGTCATCATCGCCCCTCGAACGATGAAAGCGAGTGAGTGTGTGTTCGGGGTCGATGGCGGAATATTTATAAAACTACCCCATCGACCCCAATCTAGCTTAGTTTAAGTGTAGGTCGGTGGAGGAATATCAAGTACTCCACCGACCAAACGGAATGAGTGTACTGTATGGATGTATTTAAGTGTATGAATGTATTTATTTGTATGAATGTTGTGTTTGAACGGGTATAGAATAGAGAATATAGACTTAGTGGGGGGCTGAAATGACCTAGATGTCGGAAGCCCCAGCAAAAAAAAAAATACCCCTATCCAAAAACTACCAGTTGCACTACCTTGAGTTCTATCTCGACTCACGAGTCACGTCTAAACTGGAACCGACATATTCGAAAAAAGACAGGAATTAAACAGACACTTCGGTCTACTATATAAATTATTATCAACACAACCGACAAAAAACACACTAACATTTTACAAAACACAACTAAAACCGTTTTGGACATAAGCCTTCACTATAACCTCAAAAACTTTAAAAAAATTAAAAACCTAAGCACATTCAAATTTTCTACCTTCAACGAAAAACCGTCACATGCCAACCCATTAATCTGATCCATGTCCAACTTACCCCCCTACAACCCAGTAATGCGACAGAAGGAGACCATCTCAAGGACCAAGTTACGAAGGGCAACAATGATAGCTGACTTCCTTCAGGAAATATGTCCAAATCTCGGATAAACTACTAAAAGCTAAGCTAGGGTGAAACAGCTCTGGTCCTAGCTTTCAAGAAATGAAAATGTCGCCGTTTTTAAATTCAAAATATTTAGTACGCCACCGTAATTTGTCATAGAGTCACAGGGTTGGGGACTTAGGAGCAAAAAAGTTAGAAGTTTTCACAAGGTGAAAATATTTCGTTCGTTTGTTGAAACGATTGTTCTTATTCCCAAAACCAAGAACTAGAAATTATACTGAATAAAATGTTTATGCCTTTATTATAGATTTCAATTGTATAAAAACACTTAATGGAATGTCCAAAACTCGTTACCCCAAAATCATTTTGAATTGTTAGAGAGAAACTGTTTTATGGGTTATTTAATGGAGGGAGTTAAAAGTAAAATGCAATTGTAATTTAAATTTAAATCAACAGAAACTAGTTGCAAAAAATCTCACGTGTGATAGCTTATAAGCTAATAGAATCAAAGAAATTCATGGTTTATCAGATTCAACTACTCTACTTTTTTAAACATACAAAAATAGATATCTCAAAAAATCAATGATCAATAACATGATTTAAAAACAATGATGTTAAAACTCAGAGCCGGAAGCGAGGTGTTAAATGTAAATGCCATGGAGAAATGTCTCAGACTAGGCTTTGCTTTGAAAGGACTCTTTGGATGTAATGCTATAATTTGATCATTATAGATGAAAATTTGATAATGGACAGCATTCCTACTGCTCTTAAGCAAAAGAACTATTTGTCGGGTGTCTTCCTACATGAAGCCAGGCTTGGGTCCGGGTATGGGAATCGGGTTTATTCCATAAACCTGCCGAGCAAAAGATTCTTCATAGTACTTCTCCTGCAATCGTACTTGACTGACTTTCTCTCTTTACTTTTATATTCCAATAGAATCGGGTGCACTTCGAGTATGTCCTTTCTACAATGTACACTGGTCGCATTCCTACTCCGTTATCTCTTCTGTACCAATGACAAAACTGTCCACTTTTCTCACTCAGATAAATATCCTGCAGGTAGGACCCAAAAGCGACTCTTAATACAGATGAAAAAGGTTTAAAAAGACAATGTACATTTTCAGTTCAGGGTCCTGTTCTCTTCTCTTACAGAGAACGCGACCGTAAAACATTGATTAAAGGAAGAAATTGTATGTATAGTCCATATTTCCGTAGTGGTCATAATTGACCATATTAATTATTCCTTTTATCTAAGGTTTTTCAGATGAAAAAGAAGAGTCGCGGGCGCGATTCGAACCCAAGACCTTCGGCTCAATACGCGCTGCTCTAACCACTTGAGACACGATAGATCAAGTGGTTAGAGCAGCGGCGTATTGTGCCGAAGGTCGTGGGTTCGAATCTCGCTCGTGACGCTTACTTTTTCAACTCACCAAAAACCATCGATAAAAAGAATAATTAATTGCATGTATATGTTTCAAAATGGGAAAGACTGGTTAAAGTTGTATTAATTTCTAAAAAGTGCAGGAAAGTAGACAGATATATGCGATATATTACTTGACTATTTTAATTATTAATTAGTCATAAAGAGATTTTATTTTTGTATAATGTGTTAATATTTTATTTTATTATACATTCGTAGATAAATTTTGGACTTAAACGACGGACTGGAAGTCCCAGGTTTTTTATTTTCATTTTGGTAATATAATTTAGTGTTTTATCATTAAGTGTCAGTACGAATACAACTGGAATAATTGAAGTTTAAATTTATTTAATTAAATTAGAAATGTGCAATGTTGTAATTTCTCTTTTAACGAAAGGCTATATTAATGGTGTTGACCTTTGATCCGTTCAATTACCGGGTTTCCTTGTACCAACGTTTGATATTTAAAATATCAGTCGGCCCTGTAATACTTGCATGTCAAGTACAACAAACTACAATGCAATAATCAGCAAGAGATCAGACGTCCAGTCAGCTATTTTAACACAGTTGATTAACGGTAGTGAAGTGTGCAAACATTTGCCCCCAAGTCGCCTCGCTTTCGGGGCGGGCTTAAAGTTATGCCAAGTAAGCTAAGCTCCTTTTCGAGTGTGAGTTGACCGTAAAACGTTCAGATTAACACGGGGGAATAGATCTCTGCTCAACCTTGGGCCTTGTGATGCAAAACTAACCGTTTAACGAGACGGTCTCGGATCGAGGGCATCCGTCAAAAACCCTGTTGCTACATGCGCTTCTCCCATTAACATGGGACGTGTTCAGGACGGAAAGTAAAAGTTGTCCTTTTAGAACGGATTCCTCTTCTTATTTATGCTTTTTACCACATGGGAGATGTTTCGCAGTTGCTCTTTCTTACGTGGTATTTTCTGTTTCAGGGAATGCTGGTGAGGTGGTATTTGCTCTACTCATCCCTCTACATACTCATCTGATGATGGGCAGTTGATGGTAAGACTTTAGCTAAATATTTAAAGAAAATTAGTTTAAAAATAGTAAACTCATTATTTATCCTTAATACAAATCGTTATCGAGTTCAAGGTTCAGGCCTCCATGTAGATTAGAAATAGCTATAAAAACTCTTCTTACTTTCTCATACATAACAGTAGAATACAAAACAAACGCATGCACTTCGAAATATAAGCATTCCTATAAGGAGAATGTCTGAAGTAAAGAGAAAAGGTTATGTCGGTTTGAACCATGTCTGACCTGGCCTCCTTCTGAATAATTCCTTTCATAAACTTCATATTTAAATATACAGACATCCACTGAAGATTGTTGAAGGCCAGATTCGTCTTGATAGAAACTGGCAGTTTCTTTTTCGAACAAAACTTAGAAAAGAAGAGCAGTCGGTTTGTAACGTTGTCTTAAACATCATTAATTTGTATTTCATCGGTTTGCATTAGAATTTCAAACAATAGTGAATGAGAGAGACAACATACAGACATCCACTGAAGATATTTATATTATAATTTATTATTTATGAATCCTCAAAAATAACCAAGCCCATATTCTTCCATTTCACATTTATTAATATAACACGTTTGTTCGTAGTAAAAAACATCATGTTAATTTCACATTATTTTAGCTGTGAAAATGCCAACTTATCAAAAAATATACTAAGCAAGCGAGATAAGTAGGGAGAATCGTTTCTAAGTATTGTTTTATTCTAGTTGATTATCGTATTTTATTATATATAATCTATTATATTTTAATACTGTTCAAAACTGTTTCTATACAAAAAGTATGATGCACCGTTGTCCACAACAGACCATAGAATCTGCAATGTCGGGGTTGTAAGCAGGGGAAGACTAAACGCAGAATTAATTTTAGAAGATGGTTAAGTGCTAGATTCGTCTTGACAGAAGCAGCGGCAGTTTCCTTGTTTAAAAAAATAAAATAAAGTAAAACAAAAAACAGTTCTTTAGAGGAACGGCTTGCGTTAGAATTTCAAAAGAGCGGCCACGAGAGACAACATACAGACATCCACTGAAGATATTTATATTATAATTTATTATTTATGAATCCTCAAAAATAACCGAGCCCATATTGGTTGGGGAAGATAGTTGAATGGCACGTTCGCGTTGATATAAACAGTGGCAGTTCCCTTGTTGAAAAATATGTGACAATAGCTTTGTAAATAATTACAATTAATTAAGGTTTTTAGTTGAAATGAAAAAAAGTTAATGGCACGAGAGGGATTCGAACCCACGACCTTTGGCTAGATACGCCGCTGCTCTACCACCTGAGCTATCGTGACCTCGATCCACTCGGACATCAACTCCCCATTTCAACCCCACCTTATGAGTTTTCCCTCCTTTTGCCATTTTTCAAAATAATGTAAATAATGGAAGACTTACAACAATAATAATTTAATTTTGAAATTTATCTGAGTCGGTTTGTCAGACGCGTTTCACTGCTTTATTTTGGTAGGGTTATAAGCTGGGACAGGCAGGTTTTTGTTTTGGTCAAGAATCAATATATGTTTTATTTTAAACCTTTTACACGGTACGGACCTGGTCCCGTAAGAATCCGAGCTTTAGAAATTCTTCAAAACTTTTTTTTGAAGTTCCGAACCGGGTCTAACTCGTCATGATGTACTTGCGTTTCGCCATCCTATACGTTGTGTGAAGTCTATCGACTTTTAAGTATATTCCGTTTCAAAAAATAAGTTGCAAACTGTCACGGGTGTGCTCGACCGAGTACACTGAGTACTTCGGAAACCGCATGGCTAATTTCGTACGAGTCCTAAGTCCGCTAGTATAAGGTTTGTCCTTCGGGGAAAGTCTTTAAAGTTTAAAATATGTACTGTAATACTTATTATTTCCGATAAAGGTTTAATTTACGTTTTTATTTTGTTACTTTCATTTGCTTTAACACCTCTGCGCAATACTATTACAGGGGTAATTAAGTGTACCTCGAGGTGACAAAACTCATATTGAAACTTTTTTTTTCATTTTGTATAATAATAGACAAACAATCGTAGCACAAATGAGCGGAGAAATAAATAAATTTTGACGAAATGGTACCGAAAATGGCAACTATTGGTCTTTCTTTCGACTAATACTTGTTCTGTCATCATTGTTCTTGACGTGTCTCAGAATCACTTAATTGTTGTTACTTCTGGCAAATAATCTTCATATATTAATCTTTTTCAAAGCAGCTCCTTTACAAAAAAAAGTACTGTTGGCCAGAAAAGTTCATAGATGCCGCGATGTCAGGGATATAAACAGAGAACGGCTGCATTTCACAACTGATGATGTAGGCGTTTTGTATTGTTGTACAGTACTGCCTCATTCCTATATATATATATTATATTTCTTAAACTACATATTTTACTTTTTACTTCCTCTACACAATAATTTCCCGAAGTTCCCAGCAATGAAACAACAGAGAAAGATCCCTACATTTGCCAATAGTAGAGTTATTTTTTCTAATAAAACTTAGAATCACGACATGCTCATTACAATTTACCGAGTAAAATGAAATGCAGACACGTTTAAAATAACCAAATACGAATTTTCGAAATAAGAAAAGTTTTTAAGAGGTTTTAATTCACCTTTGTATCCTATTCAACTGTTCATTAATATCACGAGAGTTGTTAACTATGCAGCAAATTTTTCATTAATTATACCCTAGAGATTATTTTATCGACCAAGTATCTTATTCTATATTATTTAAGTAATTAGGTACTTCTTGATTTCACTTATTTTATTTTATTTATTTATTTTTGTCAGTCTAACAGATTTATGTCATTGTAAGAGCTTTTATTTTTCTAATAACTATTACATTGCATTGATTCACGAGTTCCGCACCAATAAAAAAACGAACTTTTTTTTACGTTTAATTCGACATAATATATAATTAGAAAAAATCACCAATTTTAATATAACTTATTGTAATATTTATGTAATTTGGTAACTTGCTTATGAATCATCATTTTTTTACTATTTTTAAAATTTTATATGTCAGTGCGAAACATGTGATTGTCAAAATTATAAATTATTATTTTATAGTTTTATTCTATCAAGTTTAAAACTGTAATATTGAAAGAAATTACATGTATACATAAATACTTGGTTTTATTAATACTACTTTTTTTTGGTTTCACAATAGCTTAATCTCATATTTATTTAAAAATAATTTGTGCATACGAATGTTTCCGACGAAATTTAAAAAAATAAAACCTTAAGTATTAAATGAAATAATACTAAGGGTCATATATTTTTATTGAACTAAAAAATCAATTTTTGGGAATTCGTGATTGTTTCTTTTATCCGTTATATTATATTATATTATTATTATGTTATTTATTATCACTATTTTAGAACTGTATATAACATTTTTGACAAAAACCTTAAATATCTGCGTAGTAAGCTATTTTTACTAAAATAAAGGTTAATTGTTATTAGATAATAATTCATTATTCATAATTAGCATTGAACTAAGTTTGTTCATAAACGAGGTCAGTGTATGGTTTCACAGGAGATGTTTATTGTTAACCAGGTAAAGTCTGTTAATATAGGAGTAACCAATTTTTCCAAGCAGTTTGTATTAGCAACGTTCTTTTATTGACATTTGTCCTTTGCAGAAAGGTGCTGGTTTTGCTGTGGAAAGAGAAAAATAGGAGTATACACAACTTATTACATTTCGAACGGCCGTTGTATCGCACAAACACCTATTGTTTACCTCAGGAACAAAAGGATCGTTGATTGTCAGAAAAGTTGGAAACGTACCAAAACCCTTTGCAATTGTCCTGAATCCATCCGGATATTCGATTAAACAACTTCCTAATTTTTTTTAACACAGGGCTTCATTATAAACAGGAAAGGATAATCCTTTCTGAATTCGGACGGAGAGCCGGTTTTTTGTTACAAAGTTTGTAAATTAAAATTATATCTCTTGCGTTAAATTCCTTTTTAATTGTCCATTTATTGGATTATACACCTATATTTTGAAGGATGTCATGTTAATAACATTAGTTATTATTACAATCTCATGCAGACTATTTTTCTTGGCTCTGTGGCAAGAACAAACAAGATATATTAATGTAAGTTTCTTTCTTTACTCAGTAAAATACGTTTGGTTTAAAATTATCGGATAGTCGAGATGTTTTCATGCGGTCGTGTCAGTGTCCATCCGTCCTGCTAGGAGTGGTGATTTTATCTGTCGATTATTAAAATCACACGTTTTCAAAACAGACTTCCGTTCTTATTTGTTTATTGAATTATGTCACGTGTCGTTTTATCCTGTATTGCAGTACAACGGTCTATATTTATGTCCGAACAGGCATTTCTTTTGTCAAGTCGTGCCGGCTGGTCTAGGAGTTTTTCCTCGTCCCTGATCATCCTGGTCCGCCTATTTTCCCTTTATGCTCAGGACAATGGCGAATACCTCAAGCCCGGTAGGAAAAGACAACAAATTATGTTTTTAAATCAGAATGGCAAGCTTCAATTCCAGAAATACAGATATATAAGCATTTCTAGACAAAATTTGTGGGATAGTCATATGACGTAATAGAAAGTGGTCAGTTGTCAACTATAAAACCCTCCTCCACCTACCAATAATATTCCAAATGTCTTCGTAAGGTCAGGAACTGATCAAATCCATGTGAACTATAAAATATTTAAGAGACTGTTGAATTGGTTGTTATGCTTTCCTAATTTGTTCGATATCAGTTACCAAAAGTGTGTTATAACTATTCTACGAACCTGGATTCATTTAAAATGCTCTTTAACTTCGTGCTTATCGATTATTGGCTTAAATGATCTCGATCTACCAAAAACCCAATGTAATTAGGCAAAATTACCAAAACCTATTAATAAAATTTCAAAATTGTTTGAATTTACACAAGACGCACATAATCAAATTAAAAGTAATAGCTCAGCTATGTGGAAAAGGTCGGGTCATATATGTTACGGGCGGTAGTACTCGGAGGAGGATGACCTATG